CCTTTCCATGGGCGTCGAGGTGCCATACCCTTGGTCGCCAAAAAAAGGCATTGCAGCAAGTGCTGCCGTGCCCGGTTGGGCTGTTCCGGGTTGGGCTGTTCCATGCCGGATCTGCTTCCACGTGATTCCCATCTCGTGCCGTTGTTTTGACAAGGCCCGGTTCCCACGTGGCTCTCCTGGTCTAAGCCGCACGACGCGGCTCTGTAAACCTACCTGACCTCAGCCCTCGCCTTGCGCACGCCCAGGTCATCGCTGTCCCTCCAGAGCGGGATGAGGTTTATATCTTGACGTGGTTAGTCCCCTGTGATTCATTGATTTTTTTTCTTTTTCCCCTCCCTTCTCTCAAGGCTTTTATCTAACGCTCAGCCTCGTCGTCGCGAGCCTTTTGATGCTTGCGGAACTCAGTCATGCAAGTGCTGGGTGATTCAGAATGAGAATCTCTTGAGACTTCAAACACGCACTTAAGTTTGTGTTTATTTCATTTTCTGTAGCTCTGTGCCAGTGTCAGAAACAATTGAGGAGTAAACTGGGATGTTGTTGGTATAGATGTTGGTAGCAGTGAGGTGAGAAAGAAAGGAGAGAACTCCTTACATCTGAAGACTGGCAAACTGTTCTGTCATAAGGGGGAGAGTTGACAGTAATTAATGTAATTATGGAGAAGTGGGATTCATTTTAGATTTGAAGTTTTCATGACTGCAAGGACCCATACTCTTTGGTTCGTTCGGTAAAGTCACGTAGGTGAAAAAAATAAATAAATAAATAAATAAATTCCATCAAGACGTTTCGATTGCAACACAAGCAATCATCATCAGGTGTGACAACCACAGCAATATTTTTTTTACTGAATTAGGATAGAATTAGGATAGATGCTGTAGTTAAGGGGTAAGTCCGAGAGGGCGGTGTGGGGGAGGGAATAAGGGGAGGGGCATCGTTGCTTGTGCGCTAGGGACTGGGACGTGAGACTGGGCAGTGGGGGGGGGCTAGAAGTAAGAGGATGCGGTGGAGGTGCGCGGGGGGGGGCAAAGTACCGCCAACGATTGCAGCCAAAAGCAGATGATGGCGCTCAAAACATTATTTTTGTTTTGAGTGACTTTACCGAAAGAACCAAAGAGTAAGGAGTGGGATTCTTAGTCTCTTTGCAGGAATTAGACAACATTCTTATGGTTCAAGAGTTCATCAGATAGACTCGCATTGCTTACAACTAACAAACACTGCAAGTTCAAGGTCATTCATGTACATGCTCCACAACAACAACAGCAAGCCACGATGATGAATTATATGAAATGTACAAGAGGAGCTTACCCAACTAGTCGTGTTCTCAAGTTTGGTCCAGTGATCAAGTCGGTTTGTACAACAACACGGAGATGCTTTGCAATGCAACAGACTTGATTGGTGAAAGCATTTGGATGGCGAGGTAATTTTTCCAATTGTATTGCTTTGTACCAATCGCAAACGTGTGCCGAAATCGCCTCCTCCACAAAGATTGACAAACGCTGACTGACGGTTGCTTGGGAAAGGAGGCCTCTTGAAAAAAACTCAGCCAATTGAGCTGTGTCTCTTCCTTGGCCATTCCCGAGTTTAAAGCGGTCCTGCTCTCTGAAGGGATTTGGCAGAGTAGGCGCTAATTCGCCCTGTGGATTGATTCACGGGGCACTTTTAGCGTGTGCGGTAATTACTGTTATATGCAGCAGGTTCGAACATAAACCTTCATTGTAGCATCCCGTGTTACGCAACATATGGAAATGTGCAATTGGCATTGTTATAAATGAAGCATTCTAAGCGCTTTGCAATTTAGGCTACATTGTTTTTATTAGAGGAATAACCAATAACCAGGGGGCTAATTAAGACAGTAACTTGGGTCTCATGTTCTATGCTAATAACCCAAAGTATATCACAACATTTAACTTCGCCTATTCCCAGTACTTGTTCTGGTAGTACATATAATAAACTTCCCCTATTCCCATTCGTATTATTTTTTATTCACTTTATTTTCATTTATTTTCATTATTTTATTGTTATTTTTTTTCTATCTGTGTCACTTTACCGATAGACCCCAACAATATGAATTCCTGCAGTCACGAAAGCTTTAAGTCAAGATTTCTTCTATTCCCGTTTGCACTGCCAATGCAAGTTAAGACTGCAATACAGTTAATTATGATAATATTTATAATTTCTCGCCCTTGCTGGATGAAGGCCTTTCCAAACAATGTCTTTAATTGGGATCGTTTTGCCATACTGCACCACAATGGCCAGTGCTGGTGGGTTCGTTGGAAGCTGTTCAGATATTAGTCGCCGCTCATGATAGCCGTGGCTGGGTATCAAACTCTGGTCACTGTATTCATATTCTTAGGTTTTTTCGGTAAAGTCACGTAGGTAAAACAGTAAAATTAATAAAAGTAAAATAAAATAAAAATCACGACGTTTCGGAAGCAACACAAGCTTCCGTCTTCAGGTGGAACCGTCACAGCCCGACAGCTGTATCAAGTAAATGAGAGATTACAGGAGATACCACTCCGTATATATAATGGTTGAGGGGGGAAGGGCCAGGGATGGCCCACTTTTTATTATTATGGTAAGGTGCGGTTTGAGACTATGAATAGACTGCATAACAAAAGACTGAGCCTTTATTATGGAGAGGTTCGGTTTGCGACTACTGTGTTCATTGTGTTCATGGCGCGGTGCGCTAACTGCTGTGCCACCGCTCAACTCCGCAGTTAATTCTACCTAATGAAGTCGAGACTTCGAATCAAAGAGTAGTTAAATAAGAGCTGACCTCTGTGGATTACTCAACAGTAGGGGACATCGTAAAAAAACGTGGCTTTGTGTGCTGCCTGGACAAATCGAATTGTGTTCTTGTTCCTTTGATGTTCGGCTTGTGTACTTTGTATCACTCGATCAATCCTCCACTTGGTTTTCTTTGCAGGGAGGTGAGGTCCTGTTGAGACGCCAACACTCGTGGCTCTAGACACTGATCCCCGTAGGTGCACGCTGACCACAGCTGGAGTGCTGTGAACAAACAAGCCCCCCCCCCCCTCCCCCCCCCCCCGAGCCTCCACCGTAATATTCCGTGCACCTTGCGCTGGCTAGGGCTACCACCTACTTGAAGTATTAAACAAACAGGGTTATAGCATGTAGGGAATAAGGATATCTCATGATACCGGAACAGGGGAGAACTACACGCGAAGGCATTTGTCTTGAGTGATGGATTCTTATGCAGCTGACAAAAACCGGGATTTGTTCGTGTCTTGGGGAGAACGGATTTCTCAGGAAAGCAGCTATCTCAACAAGAGGACAATCCTGGGAAATCGAGGACAGGTGGCAAGCCCCAGCGCTGGCTGTGTATGTTAGTGACCCGCGTGTTTGTCCTGCCATAAAGCGTAACGACCGTGACTCATTTTTTTCTTCCCACCCCCATCGCCACTCAACAACATTTTAAAAAGGTTGCTTAAAGTTTAAACGAAGACAAAAATATGGAATCACGGTTGGGCATCACAGGGATGTGAAGACCGAGTCGGAAACAGTTTAATTTATAGACGAGTGGGTTTGCAGGAGCTGTAAACAATCGGCTACGTCTTAATTACGCGGTAATCAACGCGACGCAGACGCTGATTGCAAGAGTCAACCCTCTGCGTAAAACTCGCGTTACAAGGCTTTAATGTACAATGAAACATTGTACATGTGTGGTCAATAAACTTCTGAATGAAAGCCTCCTCACAACATTACCATCAAATAAAATAAATGAAAACAACTAAGTTAAATCACGACGTTTCGGGCGCAACACAAGCGTCCGTCATCAGGTGGGGACAATGTAGCGAAATAACTCTCGCTGGTGTATGCCGAAGGGATGGTTGTGACGAGGGATTATATACCTGGGTGGGGGGGGGGGTATACACCAGCGATAGTTCTCTCGCTGTGGTTGTCCTCAGCTGATGACGAACGCTTGTGTTGCGCCCGAAACGTCGTGATTTCATTTAGTTGTTTTCATTTATTTTATTAGATTTTTTACCTAAGTGACTTGACCGAAAAAACCAAAGAGTATGAATCCTTGCAGTCACGAAAGGTTCAAATCTAGAACGTTATCATCGCTCGTGATCCTGCGACGTCACGATCCACGTCGCTCCTTCCTCTACACGTGACGAGATCATTCCTCCCGAAGTGGTCGCTGTCTTGGGAATGTTCTCTCATTTGGTTACTACACCATCACCAGTCTCTTCTATCTGTTATCATCCCTCCTAGCGACGTGTCCCACCAAATTCCACTGACTTTTCTTAATTAATTATTACGTATTTACATTTTTTCGCGCTCATTCTCTGGTACACGAGTAACCCCGTTTTGCCTCTCAAGTGTATTTAGTGAACGTGCATCTCTGCAGTCGTTGAAATATTTCAGCTTTTGTTCCGTTTCATTTTGTCCAGTGTCCGTGCTTTTGCGACGTGAGCTATATTAGCCATATCAAGTCGATAGGTTTTATTGAACCGGGTGAGAACTCAAGGGACCAGGATAGTCTCCTTTGCTTTGAGTGACGGGAGTTGGTCTGGATGTGTGTAGTGACCTACGGTGGCCATGTGTGTGTATGGGGAGCGGTCGCACTGCGACTACGAACCTCGATACCCGAGTTCGAATCCCACTCATGATCAACAACAGTGGCGAATATTGGAAGCGGTTCTGGGCCTCCCCTCGGTTGACTCGGCCTTAATCATTACCTGGTGTGGTTTGCATGTATGTATGTTGAACTTCTTTCGCACCGTTCATAGCCAACGTGCCAACCGGAGGTGGTATGGTAAACATCAGCACTGATGCGGCAAAGGTGGCCAGGTGAGGTATTTGCCACACCACCCCCTCGTGCGGAGTGCCGGTCTTCATAGGTGCTTGCTAACAGCACATTCTGTCAAAGGCTATATGGGGGGGATCTGTGTCTTTGTGCACGTGTGTTTAAATGTCCGTGCGTGTGCGCTGTTTGTCCCCCCCCCCCCGTTGCCTCCCGTGGTGCTGCGTCGCAGGCCGCGCTACCTGCCGCGCTCTCCGTGCGATGGCTCAACCTGCAAGAGTACCAGAGCAAGAAGCTCATGGCCGAATACGGGGTCACGGTCCAGCGCTTCGACGTCGCCGGCTCGGCTGAGGAGGCCCTGGACGTCGCCAAAAAACTCAGTGAGCGAGCGAACGGCCCCGGGGGATGCCGGCGGGGACCGGGGGGGGGGGGGGGGGGTGACCGCCTTCTGTGTCTTCTCGTATACATACAAATATGACTTGGTCCATCGGCCAAGTCATTTTCAGACAAATCTTAACAAGCTGATGATGAGATTCATGATGAAGTTTGTAATGGGTTAGAGCGTAAATGTTAATGTGTCGTACACCCACCTCTATCCGACACGGCCAATTATTAAGGTGTGTCGTGAACAAAATGTGGCAATTTTTGTTACTACTTCAGCACCACAGGTTGTGTGTTGGAGAGCAAACCCACAACATTTACAATTTAGTACAACGTTTCGCTGGTGATTACAACAACCAGCTTCATCGGGCGATTGCCAGAATAGTGAAAATGTCTTCCTTTTTCCGGTCTTAAATTATGGTTCTGGCGATGTTATCATTGATCTAACCCAAAATACTTTGTCATGAATAATATTGGTTCCGAAAGCCTTTGTGTTAAAGCTGATGAGAACCATAAAGCCAACTGGTGCCGAGTTTGCGTGCTTTTACAAATGCTTCTGGATAGAATTGGTTTTGAAAGCCAATTGGCCGATGGACTAACATTATTGTATATGTGGAGACACAGAACCGAGTTTTGGTTTTGTATGTTGTTGATGCACTATGACAACAGCTAGGCGGCTTCGGTGGAAGTAGAGTAAGCAGCTCGAATCCTGGTTGAAAAATGTTTTTATAAAATTCAGATATCACTGAGCGCCGCCGAATTTTTCCGTGGCAGGAAATTGGACGAACGTTTCCAGGTCCATAGCCAAAATGTGCTAACCATACCTGCCACTACAGCACCCAAACAAGGATATGACATTTATTCCTAGCTAAACAAACATCCATTTATACTGGTAGGAACCTTCTGGTTACACCAGCCCACAGGGGATTATTGTGTCCGTCGTGCAGGAAGGGGCTGGGTTGGGAGGGAGTGGCTGGGTGGGGAGGGGCTGGGTCGGGAGTGGCTGGGTGGGGACGGTGGGGAGGGGCTGGGTGGGGAGGGTGGAATACACCACGCCGCCGTTGACCCTGACCATTGACCGAGCAACCCAACGTTCCTACCAGCTCCCTCCGCAGGAATGTGTTCTTAAAATGTGGCTGTTCATGCAATCTGGTTCATCCCCGATAGGAGATTTTAATGTCGTGCACACCAAGCACTTAGGATGTATATCAGTCTGGTACACAGCTGAAAATTTGCGCTGCTGTTCAGTTCTGTGGGTGTCTCTTCCGGGACCTTCCCTTGGTATTCTGCGAGCAGGGCAACTGTTTTGCTGTGCGACTTGACCCTGTTAGAACAATTGCTGTGCAATTGGGTGGTAAAGGATGTTCGTGAAAGGAAATCCCAGTGCATTTTCCATGGCAAAAATATGTGAAAGTAAATGCAGGCGCGTCGTTAACACGCTGCAACATTTACTCTTGTAATTTGCTGTAATGATTCTAGTCTTGTTTTTGTGGGCACTAATTAGTTATGTATTTTCTTCAATGTGTATCCCGTTCATATAGCATTTGGATAGTGTTAATTAAACCGTTGATCTGTTTCGGTTAAAATAGCCGTTGACCGTCATTAATTATTTTGGAAGAAGATGGAAAACAATGTCACCAATATATGACAAAAAATGTAATCAAAACAAATCGAACATCTACCCCATTTCACTTGTTTATGGTCTCATATTCTCATTTTCTGTTTGCTGACATTTATGGTCAACATTAGGAAAGTGGTGGCTGGTTGGCTCAGCGGTCAAAACGCTGAGCCCGGCTTCGCTGGGATTTTGGGTACAAGTTTGGCAGCTGCCAGTGATCCTATTTGGTCTTTCAGGTTCGGTGAGTTGATGGTCAAATTCCCGTTGACCAATGGATTCACAAAAAAAATACTCGACTCGTTCATCAATAACACCGTGGCCTTAAAATAAAACGTGTATAATGGACTACGTTTTGGGATAATGGCCCCTCGTAGCATATAAATGGGCCATTGCCCGAAACGTTGCCTATTTATATATTGTTCACATGAAGGCCACAGTGTTATTGACGGACGTGTTGAGTTTCGTCCATTTATTGCATATTCTATATCGCATCTGTTACCCGTCTACCAATTGCAGTTGCTGCCCCCACAGTAGCTATTCGGGAGTGAACCAATAAAGGTAATGAAATGATTGACGGTTTGGCTAGCACGTCAATTATCCACGTTAAGGCCGTTTCGTTAAACGTGTGTGGCGGTAGCCTCTTTACATTAGAGATGAGCCGTACGAGTGTGGGGGGAACTGGCGGAGCGATGGGGTGGAGGGGGCAACAGGAGCCGCGTGCAACGTCGCGAGGAAGTACAGAATGCCAATCAATCAGAATCCGTATTTTATACTGGAGGAATCCGATGAGCTAAAATGCTCTTTTTCACAGATGTCCAGTCGGGGCAGGTCAGAACGTTCCAACAACAAACAGTACTAAAACACACGACAGGGGTGCACAGTTTTGGAAAGGTAAACAAATCGCTTTAAAAGATTTATGCAAATAAAACAACCATTTTTTATATCATACCAGGTGAAGCCCACTGAGCTATTGGCTTATTTTTCAGAAGCGACCTGGCTACAAATGATAGAGTTCAACGAATTGGCTTATCACGCGAAAATTTCCAGCAGCAAAATAAGGTAGACGCATATTTCTAAATGTGGAGGGGAAAAACCGGAGGACCCAGAGGAAAATGAAAATCAAAAGACAATCTCAAGAAGAAGCGCTCCGAATTCTGTCACTTGAAGCGGTCGACCTTCAAAGTCCTCTACGATGGTCCACAGCGCAACGAGCCGTGGTTTTTGTGTTTCTTAACTCGTTTACATTACTGCGTCCCAACAATCTCCCCCCTTTACAATCGTGTGCTCTCCTCAGCCTTATTTCCCCTGGCTCTTAAAAACTTCGCAGCCAAAGGATATGGTGGGATTCTCGTTTTAGAGTGCAGCTTCTGCCGTTGACTGAGGACTGTGTTATGGTTCGTGTACTGCATTTTAGGTGAAGTGCGCGCTTAAATGTCAGTGGAGGCTCGCGAGTCGACAAAGTAAGACTCCAAATGGGAGTTGCTGAACGCGGTCTTTAATTTGTTAACCTGTAAACTTTATTATGAGATGGATAAAAGGGACATTTACTGTGAAGCAAAGTGGATGGGCTAGAGCAGGGTTCGTCGCTCGAAGGAGGTGACCGCTTGTGCTCCAGATTAATGGCAGAGTGGTAGCTGAAGGAACCAGCAACGCTTGAGGGAGGGAGCATCATCCAGCGGGGAGATGGAGCGATGAAATTGGCTGGTGTGAAAGAGCTGGCTGGAGTGTTACGCCGCAGGTCTGTCGGAGATCGTCCTCGCTTGGGGAGCAGGTTTCTGTAGGAGGCCTTCGTTCAACAGTGTGGATAGGTCATGACTATTGCTGATGATGATGGTGAATTTTGGGCAGTCAGGAGGAGGCATTTGTATATGGTATGCAGAGGTTTGATATGAGGGCATGAAGCATGTTTAGTGGAAGAGGTGGCACCTCCGATTAGCACGGTTGGCTTTGTACGGTGCGAAAGAAGTTCAACATTGATACGTCAGAGCACCAAGCCGGCAACTCTGAAATGCTCGGTTCGAGTCTCGGCTGCTGCCAGTGATTAAAGCAGCTTCGCAAGTGAAATTGAAGGTTTTCGACTCGGTCGCAAGACTGCACAAATAAGACCCATTGCATTAATTTGAGGCTTTTATATCTCATTTGTCCTTTTCCAGCCCCGGGACTGTAAGATGTCAGTTTGACCGACGTGCGACGAGCGATTTGCCTCGGGGCGTTGTAAGAGCTGTACCCCCTCGTGCGGATAAGGAGAGGCTTATTGATGTGACGATTAGAAGTAGGGCTGCGATGGCCTCATCTGAGAAGCATTCTCTAACACATGGTGATACACTGCAAGCTGCAGAGCTCCTAATGGAAATGGTTTTTCTCATCATGTAATGCTGATATAACTCGTGGAATATTATTGTAAAATAAGGATTATAAGGGGTAAACGCTGTGTGCCCTGATGTTAGAGTGGGATTTCCAGAAATGACAATGGCAATCCTGTACTGCTTATATAAATATATAAAGTACCGTATAGAGAAAGCGTTTTGTAAAGCCAGCTCAGTGTGTTATTACCATGTCATTGGGACAGATCAAAATAGATTAGCGAGAGAGACTTATGCTCAAACAAATAGAGATGAATGGTGGGAGACATTGACCTGGGCGCGGGTGGGCTGATTCCATCTGAAATGACCCGGGGAAGAGAGACTTGGCTATCAGGATCCCGGTGATTTAGTTGTGGATGATAAAGGATGGAGGAATTTAATCAGTGTTCGGTAAATGATGAAGTCTTAAGCGTTAATGGAAACTGTTCATTTAGTGAGGGCTATATGGAGAGATAGCAGTGCAAATATAGGGAGGTAATTTTTTGTGCATTTTTTTTGCCCCACCCCAGACTGCCGAAAAGGCAATTTTTGGGTCTTGGAGAATCCGCGAATGATTAATAATAAGTGACCATGTGTCTTCGGAGAGCTAATGCTATCCAAATGTTAGCATCTCCGATTATGGTTTTTTAAATGTTGGCATTAACCTGATGTAAAGTCTTGATGCTAATATTTGTTCATATCGCAAATGAGTACATGAGAGGTAGACCTTTTTTTACTTTTAGTTCACCAAAGCCTGATTGTCAAGCCCGATTTGGCATGTAGGCCACGGAAGGCACCAACCCATCCGCATATCTGTACACCCAACAATTCTGTAGTAAGCCAGATCATGAACGTTCTATATGCATGAGTGTATATGGTGTTCTAGATTACGTTTTGATTTGATCTGTGCCTCGATGTTAACAGCACACAGTGAGACTTTTAAGAGGTTGAGAAAATGAAATTAAAGTGGTGTAAATCTTAGCCGTAAAACATGTCTCCATATGCATATTAATTAAGTGAGAAGCATTGTACACATTAT